CTCTCAAAAACTAGTTTTTTCGAGTATATAGTTACACGAGCTAACTTTTCTTAATAATGAATCAATATAAAAATGGTATGCACAGTAGACAGCTAGGGTTAGGTCGTAATAGAACCTGATTTTTTAATTTCTCTATTGTTGAAATGAAAACCCAGGTGTTGGATTTTAATTAGCGATTATTTTTACCACAAATTTGAGAATTTTTCGGAAATGTTTTTTCAAAAAACGTTCAAAGGTAAAATTCAATAATTGGACTCTATTAAGATCTAGTCCTGTGTCTACTATACTATTTAAAAATCATCTCGATATGTAAGTTCGTATCTTCATTTTGAAAACTTTGTTCACATAAAAGATACTTTTGATCAATGAATGGTCTTCTATTTCGGGAACGAGGTTTATATGATATTTGCAAATTATGAACAACTTAGCATTAGAAAAAAAATCCTTCATAGAAAAAAAAGAAGATTAGATCAGAAAAGTATACTTGAAATTTTAAATTTACAATGTTACGAACTTATTTTTTCTTAGCCGAAAAGTTTTTTAAAAACAAATCAAAGATTCCTAAATAGTGTCACATGTACTTCGAACCATGAATTGTTTTTGATGACATTTAAATTTTTGTTACAAAGTTTGAATTGAACAGAAAACTAACATAAGTCTTACGATATCTAGACAGCAATCAAATTTCTGTAGAATATATTTTAATTGCTAATTGAAACCAATAAATATGCATGATGTCTAGTGTGTTGCAAAATTTTAGGCTATGAGTTCTCCTCGAAGTTTTTTTATCAAAAATAATTTCCCAGATTTCGTTATTTTAGTAGTCACTTATCCTAAGTAGTAGAAATACTCTTTAAGTTTTATACTTTTTTTTTGAAACTTTTCAATCAAATCAACCCATTTAGATAAATTTTTGTTTATCACTGTAAACAAAATTCGATATACAGTAAAACTCTTACAAATGAACACCTTTTAATTATGTACAATATCAAGTTCAATGAACCGATTTATGTAAGAAATGTCTCTCGATAATATGAACAAAAAGAATCTTTTGATTCAAATCATTTAAATGAAAATAGATGAAATAGTGAATAACTCATTAGAACTTTATCGAAGATTAATGTAGGCACACATATCCTGGAAGTTTTTCTTCATTTCAAAATAAACAATGCATTAACTATCTAAAGCTGAACACCTCCGTATTGTGAATGTCTTTTAACGGTCTCCATGATGTTCACAATAGAAAAATTTTAGTGTATTCTAATCATAGCATTCATTAATTATTTAACTCATATTAGAGAACAAATTTTAAACGTTAAATATAACAAATCTTTTAATTAATCGAAAATTTTCTATTGATAACCGAAATTTTTTTTTTCTGCGAATATTTTAGCCTCATCAAAAAGAATATCATCAACAAACTACTCGTCGACGTTCAACAATTTATCCAATGAAATTAACAACAAAACAATTTGAAGAAAAATCATCTCATATAGATGGGATTATTGAAAAAATTTATTGTCGTTTTCATCATCCAAATTTAATTCCAAATGATACAAAATTTTCACCAAATCAATTTTTTCAACAACCCATTATCGATCCTAATAATAATAACAACAACAATAATAATAATAATAATAATAATAATAATAATAATAGTCATGTTAGTAAACGTTTACGACATAAAAATTCATCATCATCATCAATAATAACTAATAAAAAACGTCGTACAAGATCTATATCATCTAATGATAATATAACTGAATGCATATTAGATAATACTCAGTATATTGTGTCATCATTAATTGATGAATTAATCGAATCTATATCATCTCATATTATCTAGTCAAAAACAAAAAAAAAAGGATAAAAGTGCAAAAAAAAATGTCTCTCGTTGTTTTTTTTTCTTTTTTCTTGTGTGTTTTTAGTTTTATTCAAAAAGTGTAATACGAAAAAAAAGCTGTATATTTTATTATTCATAATATTGACAATAATTTGTAAATAAATAGAAATTAAAATTTTAGATTAATATTATGCATGAATCAACAAATCGAAATATAAATTCATCATCATCATTATTATTATCAAATTCAAATCGTTCATTAAATATTCATCCACCGAAATTAACTCGTTCATTACAACAAGATAATGCATCAAAAAAACTTAAAATTACTCATGGAAATGGTATAAAACCAATAGTCGATGGAAATTCAACTGTTCGAAGTTTGTTGTTTTTTTTTTGTAAATTTAATTTTTTTTTTATCTTTTATTAAATTAGGCTCAAAAACAGATACATCATTAAGATGTCCTTTACGACAAACATTACCAATATTTAAACAACCTGTTACACATTATCCTATACAACGTGATGAAGTTAAAGCTCAAATTAATCATCAAACTAAATCTAATAATAATGGAAAACCAAGTGAAAAAACTAAACCAAGACAACTTTTTTGGGAAAAACGTTTTCAAAATATTCGACCAATTGATATTGATGAAAAACCTTTTGAACAAATTAAATTACCTGAACCAATTAAAAGTAAAAACAAAAAACAAAAAGATTTCATTGGAGTATATTATGATTCAATACTAAGCATAAGACAGTCGAACTTACCCTCAGATTCATATTTTGACTTACGAGAAAAATAAGTTCGAGTCAATGGCGTATCAACAAAGAGTTTTAGTCTAAAACTTTGTCTATAGATAAATTTAATAGATATTAGATAGTTTTGAAAAGCATGTCTTCCTCGAGATAATTAATTTTTAAGTAGACTGGATTATTTTGTCCTCCTACGGCAAACGGTTGGTGTTTTTGAAAATTTAATATCTCGAGAAAGACATGGTTTGGAATGTCTGGTTCTCAATAAAATGGTCGTACCTCTTAGTCAATATGTCTTGGGCTCGAATCGTTTTACGCTTATCCTTACCTCAATATACTCTATCGAATGAAGTATGAATGAATCAAAACGGAACTGAACACATCGGGTACTTCCTTCGTTGGCAATAGTTTTAATTTATTTTTGTTTTAACATTCAGTACGTTCACTTGACGTTTGTATATCACAAACGAAGTACACTACTTTGTTTCATTTTTAGAACAGCGTTTCTCTAAATACTAAATGTTACATGCGAAATTTATATATTTGAAATTTCTACTCATAAAAATGATGAAACACTGATCGAATGTAGAATATATTTCAATGTAACAAGGTCATACAATTTAAATTTGCAATATAAATAGAACAATAAGAGTTTTGTATAAGCATGTGCAGCTTCAGTTTACTGATCACTGACTGAGTATAGTTAATGCAAACTGAAGCATTGGAATACACCACTACAAAAAGGTCATATGACACACTCTTCAGTATTTTGCACCAACATTGTACATCCTTAGTTTTATAATTGATAAATTTTCATGATTTACTGGTGTTATAGAAACTTGTAGCTGAAGAAGGAAGTCCAATAGCGTCTAATAGTTAAAGGAGAGATTAAACATTACTGCTCATATCCGAAGAGTCCATGGATAGGGTCAAGCTCATTGAGACATCTTGACCGTATATTCAGTTACTAATATACTATAAAAAACTATTTATAGTAATATCAGAGTAGACTTATTATTTTCCTATTATTTAAAGTTATAATAGATCTATAATAGAATGATATACATTAACTTAGATTCATGAAAAATAATTTTTTTTGCAGGTGTTGGTCTTAATATGTCACCTGAAACTGTTCTAATAAGTCTAGCGACATCTCTTCATCTTTACAGTAATTCACGTGCATTATTTGGTCAAAATAAACAATTTCAAAAAAATCCAACTATTTTTATTCAACGTGATCAACCATTAATTAATGTTAGTTCAAATCTTTTATTTCTTTTTTAACTAAACAAAAAAAAAACTCAATATTTTGTTTTATTTTATTTTTCTTTTAGTATGTTAACATTACAGATGAACATATTCGTGCTCAAGAAGAAAAAGTCAATGAATTACGTAAACGTATACAACAAACAATGTCTAGTAACGATGATAATGAAATCTAAAAAGACATTTGTTATATGTAAAGAATAATGTTTTTTTTGTATATATATATTCATGATATGTTTTGGATGAATTCGTTAAATGTGTAGAAATGAATAACGAACATAGTTCGAATCTAATCAGAAGCATTTTTTATCTCTATGGTATTGTTGTTGCCCATGATGATGTTCTATATCAATGGGAATCTCTCTGAAAATAAATAAATGTTGATGTTGATATCCTGAGGCACAACAATTATGTTTAAAAAACAAATTAATAAACTATTGTATATTATCTTGATATGATAAATCCATATATATAGTATTAATTGAATCATTCGCCTAAATTCTTTTTTTTTTCAATAATGTCAATCAATCCATAAATTGTCTAAATAATATATGCTTCAAGGCATTCATAGTCGATCAAAAAAACAAAACGGAAACTTTTTTTGTCGTTCATTTTGGTTTCTTTTTTATTCTCGAAAATTATTCAAGTATATATGTACACGCATGTGATTCAATTAGAATTATTGATGAATAATAAACGTATTCATGAAAAAGAGAACGTGCTTCGATGTTTGTTAAGCATAGTAGATTAATGAACACGTCACATATAAGATTTATCCATAAACACACGCATAGAACTTTAATAATAGGATCACTTGTCATCGTATAATGAAAGAAGATAGAATACGTAATCGTTAATGAGCCGTTTAAATCCGTGACAAAATATGTATCCGGAACATATTGGATCATTAGAAGATAACAATATGATGAAATTGTTGTTAGAAGACTTTTTTTCAAGATCGAGATTCGGCTCATTTATAATCATCGATGCATCTAATACATAAATCATAAAATGAGAATTGTAATAATTCTTAATATACCAAGATTTTAGCTTTCTTTATTCAGTCATGTCATTTTTTTTTTTGTATTTAATATTATTTTTTAAAATGAATTAATATACTACTATGTTGTGTATATTATTGTTTTGTTTTAATAAATTGAAAACGAAATGATCGTTTACATGAAAATAAATTATAAAAATCATTTCGAAAATCAATTGAACAAAAATAATAAATAAAAAATCGAATAACATGTGTTGTTGTTGATAAATTTGTAAATAAAAGTGATAACGTACGTCTTAAACTTAATGGTTCAATATATGAACGAAAAAAAGAAAAAATAACTGTTGATGGAAATGTTAATATAAAATAAGATACTGTTATAAATATTAATGATAAAGTTAATTTTCTACTAGTACGTTTAATGGATCTTGCTGAATTACTTCTATTTGATTTACCAGATGATGATTTAGACCAATATGTTAAGGACAAGCTTTTTCGATGACTATCTCGTTTAGTTGAAGTTGTAGACGATGAAGCTCGACGTTTATGATCATGTAATCTTTTTTTACTAGCACATATAATACGAATTAATAAAATATTTAAAATAAATAAAATAACACTTGGTAAAGCCGAATATAGACATAAATGTATACGTTGATACCATAATATATAATTATCATAATATTTATTTTGATAACATATAATATTTCCTGTTAATGAATGATAACCATTCATCCAAAGTATATGAATATTTGCAAGAAAAAATAAACATGTTATACATAAACATATAACAGTTGTATAAGATCGTTTACAAATAAATTGAAATAATGTTAATTTTGATATTAATAAATAACGATTCAATGAACCGAATGCTAGTATCCAAGATGATGTTTGTAATGTAGAAAAAGCTGAAAGAAAATATAGAGAAATATATATTCAAAGAACTCTATAAAATTAATTTGAGATAAAATACATGAAGAATAAGGTGATTTCATTTTGATTTCTTACCTAGATATGATAGAAAACGACATGTAAACAGAGAATATTCTTCAAGATTTTTTTTAACTATCATAATATTTATATTATCATTAATAAAAAAATCTGAATATTCATTTATACTAATATTTTTATTGTAATAAACTAATTCATAATCAATATTAAATTCTCGAACCACATAATTTAAATTAAATGTATATAAAACAATAGTATCAAGAATAGCTAAATATCCAAATATAGTTTTTATTGAATTTGTACGATTTTCTTTTTGAAAATAAATTAAACAACAAAGTAGATTACAAGGTGTACCAATTAAAATAAGTACTAGAGAATATATAGCAAGAAGACGATCAGATAATTGTATGCCATTCTGACTTTGAGGTGAATATAAATTTAATGAATCATTCATGGTAAGTTTGTATTTGATTGTTAAACAAAGCAAGAATAAAATACAAATGAATCTCATTCAATTTTTGTGCTACATTCACAAAGGGAAGGGTTGTTTTTTTTTCTTCTTGCTTCGTTCTTTTCTTCGTATTTTTCTTTTAACATCATCGATGTTCTCTTATCTCTCTCTGTTATCCTGATGCCATCGATTTTCTGTGCTTATTAAAATGCCATGACATCAATACAAAGGTGAACGAAAGCAATTATCTTATGATATACAAACCATTAATTACAATACGTTCATTGTGTTTTGATGTTTATATTTCTAGTTTAGTATTTTTGTAAATTTATTTCTGATGATATAACAACAATTATTATTAGCATAATCTTAATATTAGTTTTACTTAGTTGTCCATATGTCAATGTTATAAAAATCAGCACAGTTGATCTATTGTCATTTAATATAAGAAATGTTACTAAAATGACCATCGCAATCAAATTCAAGTATACTTATTTACATTTATTTGTTCAGATATTAAAAAAATACAATTTGACATAGAAACATCAACAACAAATGAATTTGATCTTCTACATATTCTTATCATCTTGTCATATTTTATCATAGTGATGTATCACAACTACAGTTATCATTTGATTGACAAGGCATTCTATAGTTTTTTTATTTGATCTAAAAATAGAATAATAACAATAATAATATCAGTTGAACAACTAAACAAACTTTGATGTTCAAATAAATATTATTTCTTCATGAGTAATTGTTTTTTGACATTCTAAACAATCTATATATTATTAATTAAAATGTCAAATAGATAGTTTATGTTTGTCTTTACAATAGAGTTGGATAACTTGAAATGATATTTTTTTACGATATATATTTATTCATAACGACATACAGATGAAAAAGCATAAAATATTAAAAATAAATATGTTGTCTACATTATTCAAACATTGCTGCTGTTTATCCTTTGATGCTTCTTGTTTTTTTCTTTGTTCAAATGAATCGTAAGATCTTTCAGTACTTGAATGTCTCACCATTGAATACCATTTGCTATTTGCTTTATTTTTATCTCTGTTACTGTCAAAAAGTAATTTTCATCAAAAATAGCTTTGTAAGTCGAGCAATAAGTCTTTCAAAACATTGATAGATAAACAATGAGCATGAAAAAGAAATTGTCCACGGGCAAACAGCACAAAAATAACCTTTTTTTTTCTTCTTTTTTGTTTTGCTTCTTCATTTTTCTTTCCACGTCCTTAATTTCATGATCGGACAGATAGATAATCAAATAACTCAGAAACATGTCAGTCATTCTAATACAAAAAAAAAACAAAATCAATTACAATCGTTTATCATATAGAATGTAG